GAAATCTGGCGCCACAGTAAAGGAAGAAAATGAGTCTACTCACTTAACAAGCTTGCTGCTTTTGGATCCTGGTGGCGGGAACTAAATGAGACATGGAAGGAAAGGTCAGGAGAGACATTGAATGTCTGTGCATATTAAACAAGTCAAAATGAGCCATTTTCCAAGAAAGTGGGGGAGAGCAAAATGCTGGGGTATATGGCTCTGAGTGGCAAAGAAAATTCTGTGCTGGCAATATGGGGCACTTGGTGGTAAGATGGTAAATGGAGGAAGTAATTTGGTTGGGCAGTTGCAAGTCTGTAGCTAGAGTTTTCCTGCCTTGCCCACAGTCAGGACAAATCTTTGTCACCCGCCAGTCCCACAGCTGCTCAGACCCAACCAAGTAAACACAGAGACTTATATTGCTTACAAACTGTATGGCCGTGGCAGGCTTCTTGCTAACTGTTCTTATAGCTTAAATTAATCCATTTCCATAAATCTATACCTTGCTACGTGGCTGGTGGCTTACCGGTGTCTTCACATGCTGCTGGTCATGGCGGCAGCTGGCAGTGTCTCTCTGCCTCAGCCTTCCGCTTCTCAGAATTCTCCTCTCTCCTTGTCCCACCTACTTCCTGCTTGGCCACTGGCCAATCAGTGTTTTATTTATTGACCAATCAGAGCAATTTGACATATAGATCATCCCACAGTACAAGTTCTGGAGTAGCAAAGCAGTTTGGCAATAGGTGGTTCTGGTCCAATGAAAGCATCCATTCTTTGTGTCTTGTAAACAACCGCATCCTCCATTAAAGCACACATCTAGGTAGGTGAAAAGCAAATGCCATATTAATGGTTCACTCAAGGCAATACTGCAGTAAGTGTTGGAGAAAGATTTTGAAACAATAATTTACAACATTAAACCTAGCTGATGAAGAAAATAAAGACCACTCAAAGATATCCACATTCTGATTGCTAGATTCTGTGACTGTTAGTTTACATAGCAAAGGGCATGTTATAGATTTGAGGATATAAATGTTTCTGTGAGATGTGACTGTCCTGGATTATCTGAGCAGGCCCAAGGTAACAGAACCCTTATGAGGAAAAGAACAAGAAATTGGTAGAAGAATTGGAAAAGATGATACAAAGAGGGCATGAGAAATGCAATACTATGCTACCAGCTTTTAAGATGGCAGCCAGAGCCTGAGCCTATGAATATGGACTTCCAGAAGTGGGGGAGGCCAGGATGGATTCTACACTAGACTCTGGGGGTGGTAGGACCCTGGTGACCCCTTGCTTTGGGTCCAATGACCTATTTTGTATTCTGGCTTCTAAAACATAACCTCAGGGCCCTGATATCTTTTTTTTAAATGTTGTTATTGTTTATTTTGTTTGTTTGTTTGTTTAACATGGGACCACTTTTTGCTTGAGAAATTTTATGTGACCCTGAAATTTCCATAAAATAGGTATACAAATACAACATGTACTGGTAGTAAATTACAATGAACATAATTTACAATAATTCTTTGGTAATTTTTTAATTTATTAAAGACAAAAGTAAATTTACATGCTAATGAAATGGATGTGCTTGTTTATTTTTATGTAAAAATTTAAATATTGACAGAATATTGAATACTTCAGGAAACAGAGAATCTTGAATGCTTTTTCAGAGTTGATCAATATTTTTATTTTATGATCTAATCATCAATGCTGAGGGTGCTATTTGCATAAATACATAAGACAAAATGGCAGAAGTATGTTTAAGTCCATTTCAGAACCAAAACCAAATGGAATAATTTTTAAAAATTAAACTCAAGTTAGTGAACCCAAAACTAGTAATTTTTAAAATAAAAATTTGAACACAATACAATCCCAAGATAGACTAATGTGATATGTGCTAAGGAGTGACAGGGAACCTATTAAAAGTCTTTGTTTCCACATTTGAATCAATGTTTAAGAGCAGAATATCTTAGTATTGAATCTGAGAGGGAGTGTTTCAGGCATTGTCCTTTCATACTATATGCCATGAAGGCGACATGCACATGGAAAGCATCTGTGTTGCATGTCCAGGACCAGCTGCAGTGAAATTGCATGCTTTAACACAAATGATCACTGAAAAATAATACCTGGAATCATTACATGAGTTCAAATTAATTTTTGGTCATTGCACATTCAAACTCTTTTAGTACCACCAGATTTTCTGAACCCCCTACATTCAGTTATGTGGTCTTATGTACTATTACATCCCACAGTTTAAGAAGCTGGGTTGTAAGCAACTCTGTGATGACTTGTTACAACAGCCCTAAGAGAATAATCAAGCTACAGCAACTGTGTGTAGTGTGTGTTTATCATTGTGAGTATACAATGCTATAGAACTGAAGCTATAGAACTTCAGGCTAGAACATTCTTAGGATGAAAATAAGCACTTGGACCACTGCTTGACTTTTCCCCTCTTGTGTTAAAAACTGTTGAGGTACAGCTTCATCTGAGCTGCTGTGGAAGCCTTGGGGAAGAAACCACATCTGTTTGAGTAGTAGGCTCATCTAAGCCACCATCATGAGCTGCCCTTCTGCATACAGATTCATGTTTGCAGCTTCTACCTCTATGTGTGAATATGTGGCAAGCAAGTCTCTGTGGATTATACACACATCCCTCTTTGTTGTTACTGTTTTTCAAGACAGGGTTTCTCTGTGGAGCCCTGGCTGTCCTGGAACTTGCTCTGTAGACCAGGCTGGTCTCAAACTCGCAGAGATTTGCCTGCCTCTCCTTCTGAGTGCTGAGATCAAAGGTGTGCACCACTACTGCCTAGCTCCAGATTTAATTAGCTAGACAAATTTAATACATTTGTTTATACTGTGAAACATTTGTTTTAATGATGCAAAGATATGTTGCAGTCTTTTATGATGTATTTTTTCAACTCTATGAAGTTGTGTTACTTTGCCTGTCTAAAACACCTGATGGTCTAATAAAGAGCTGAATGGCCAATAGCTAGGCAGGAAAGGACAGATGGGGCTGGCAGGCAGAGAGAATAAATAGAAGGAGAAATCTGAGAGGATGAAGGACAAGAACAAGTAGAGGAGGATGCTAGGGGCCAGCCACCCAGCCACCCAGCCACCCAGCCAGCCACAGAGTAAAAGATAAAGTAAGCTATACAGAAGTAAGAGAAAGGTAAAAGCCCAGAGGCAAAAGGTAGATGGGATAATTTAAGCTAAGAAAAGCTGACTAGAAATAAGCCAAGCAAAGGCTAGGCATTTATAAGAAAGAATAAGCCTCTGTGTGATTTATTTGGGAGCTGGGTGGTGAGGCTCCCAAAAGAGTAAAAACAACCAACAACAGTGCTTAGACCATGGATTCAGGCTACACTGCACAAGAGTCATCATGAAGCTTCTATATCTTGTTGACACCTGGCATGGAAATCCTGATTCAATGGGTCTGGTATACACCTCTCACACTTTCCTGAGGTTCTCTACTGAGTTCTCTCCCTCTGATTCCTATGGACAGTTTTACCAACTCTCATGTCATCTAGCCCATCACCTCTAGTCATCTTCACACTCCTCCAGACTTCAGTCTCAGGAGAAGGTTTACAAAGCATATCTGTTCCCATCACTTGCTCCTCACAGGACTATGCTGGCCCTGCTGGTCTTTCAAACCATAGGGCCAATGACAGCCTGGCAGGTGGGTTGGAGACTTCCATGTCCCCACAGGCTTTGGCATTGCCCATCTTTTCCTTGATAAAGAGAAACAGTGTTTCTACACCTTGTGTCCATGTGACCCTGCCCATCTGCCATTCAGATGGCTGTGTCAATCCCTTTCATGTAGGAATTCTTGGGCTTCTTCTGTCCACCGTTCAGGTGTCCTATGACCCCACTATTCCATCTTCTACTTAATACCTGTATATCATCACAGAATTTCAGAAATTGCTAAGCAGCAAAATTCTCAACTCTAGAAGAGATCAAAACTTTGTTGCAAGGAGCTTGTCATGCTCAAAAAGACTGGGAGCCCTGATGGATTAAAAAAAAAAAAAAACTCGTATACATCTCTAATAGCAGCTCTCCCCCACCCCCCGGTTGGTGTGACAGGCAGAAACAGGGCAAATGTCAAACTACCAATGATAGTGACAATTCAGTGGGGCCTCCATTCAGCAACTACTTAAAATTCTTTTGCATAATTACGCACATCTCTCTTTAAAAATATGTACATATTAGTTTTAGCACAAGTAATGATAGCTTTTCTGACATAGGATGTCTTTGGTTTTTCTCAATAAATTGCTATTTTTTATTTTTTTATTATGGGTTTTGGAATGAAGATTGATTTTTGAACCATTTTGGGGGATAATAGCTGACTTCTGTGCTACTGTGCCACTGCATAGCTCCCATTTTGATAATTAAATATAAACACGCTCCCTCCAAAGAACACAGTCACTTAAAATACAGCTTCATTAATAATCGATTTACATTACAGAATCTCTGCTCATGGAAACGACAGCCTCCTAAGGCTGTCATGACACTGTCAGTCTTGTAAAGCAGGTAAGAATTACTTCCTGAGCTCGAGAGTCACAAATAGCAATGGTTTCCTTGGAGACTCAGCTGCAAAGCTACTCACTGTGCCTGCAAGACTGGCCTCCCCAAACTCGGGGGCAGTTTCTCTCTGGAGGTGAATTGGGCTTCCTACACTGAGAAACGCTGGGCCCAGTCCTAATGCCTACACTGTAGATGATTGCTACCAGGACCGTGTGGCAAAGGATACCTGCTCTCAGCAGGGTAGAGGTGCCTGATGTTCAGGCTGTAGACTAAATGGCAGGCAGAGCCAGAGCCATGGGCACCTTGATTTGTAGCATTATGCAGACAGAGAGCAGCAAGCCTCATCATGAATGTGTCACCTCAGAGGAAAAGTCTCTGGTACTAGCTAAGGGCCAATGCTTGACAGACAATTGCCAAGTCATTAGGTAGAAGGATACACTGGAAAAGGACACAAGAACAATACAATTTTTTTTTGTTGTTGTTTTGTTTTTTTGTTTTTAGAGACAGGGTTTCTCTGTGTAGTTTTGGTGCCTGTCCTGGATCTTTCTCTGTAGACCAGGTTGGCCTGGAACTCACAGAAATCCACCTAGCTCTGCCTTCTGAGTACTAGGATTAAAGGCACAAGCCACCACCACCTGGCTACAATTGTTTTGTTGTTGTTGCTGTTTTGTAAGGAACGTCTAACCACTCTGGTCTTTGCTGTTGTGGAACAATGTTTTTGTATAGTATGAAGGTGTAATGCTTTCATTGTTTTAATAAATAGCTAATAGCTAGGCAGGAAGAGGTTAAGCAGGACTTGCAGATAGAGAGTTCATTCACTGGGATGAAAAAGGGCAGAGTTACCAGCAGATGCAGAGAGAAGCAAGATGAACTTGTGCTGAAAAGAGATACCACCATGTAGTAGAACATAGATAAGAAGTATGGGTTAATTTTAGATGTAAGAGCTGGTTAGTAACAAGCCTAAGCTATTGGCCAAGCATTTATAATTAAAAATAAATCTTTGTGTGGCTATTTTGGAGCTGGCTGATGGGACAGAAAATTCTGCCTATGCTTTGCTTTTTCCTCTACTGTTTTATTTGTGGAACTAAACAGCTTTCAATAATTTGAGTGTTCTGAATGCTATCTCTGAGTTTGGTACTGTAACTGGAATGGCATGCTCCACCACTTTACCCATACTCTTCAGAGCATCCTTGGCAGGGAAGGTATAGGTTTATAAGCAAGATCTGAAGGAGATTCAGATGCAAGATGTTTACTGCTGGCCCCTACTGCCTATTCCCTAGGAGAGTGATCAGATGCAGAGTTCAAGAGGAGACAGAAACTTGAAATTGAGTCCAGATGCTAGGGGTCAAGAAACATTATAACTTCTTCATAAAATGAGTGCATATAAAAATGTACTTCTTGAGAAGATAGGTACTTTAAAAATCTTGTCTTTTAGTGTCTAACTCTTCATACTGTATGGGATTACATTACTGAATGAGAGCAGGGTCATTAAAAAAAATCTAGCAACAATGGAAAATTTTCTGAATGTGAAACTCCAAAAATTAAATAGAAATCAAGAGTAATGAATCTGAGGCTGTTCTGGCAGTGCTGGCCTGTGTTGCATCACATGACTTCACTGCAGCCTTGATTCTGAACACACAGCATATGTGCTTGGTGATGACCATCACACCAGAAAACACTAAGAGCCAGTATCTGAAACACCCCAGCTCAGATGCAATTCTACTGAATGTAATTAGTTGCAATGTTTTTACTCTTCATATAAGCTGCCCACCCTTATAGAAGCTAATGATTTAATTGTTAAAAAAAAAAACAAACCCCAGAGATTTCTAATATTTCTAACATCATTCCTTGGCATGCCAGTATCAGGTTGTATCTTTGGACTGTACTGGGCTAAAATATTCGATTTTAAAGCCTGCTATTTGAGTTGCTGATTTGTTTTTTAAAAAAAAAAAATCACTAAATGAATTTCAGTTTGGGATTAGGACAACATTTTCAGCAACTTCTGAAATGATGATAAAAATACTTCTACCATTTTGTACTATTTATGCTAAGTGCTGGGCTCAATATTGGCAATAATAAAATCAAAATTTTGATAACTCTGAAAAATTTTATACTCAGCCAGGTGGTAGTGGTGCATGCCTTTAATCCCAGCACTCAGGAGGCAGAGGTAGGTGGATCTCTTTGAATTCAAGGTCAGCCTACTCTACAGACCAAGTTCCAGGACAGCCAGGGCTGTTACACAAAGAAACCCTGTCTTGAAAAAAAAAAAAAAAAGCAAAAAAAAAAAAAAATTATTTTCTATGTCCTGCAGTATTAACTATTCAGTCACAATTTTATTTTTTTATGTAAAAATAAACAAGCATATCTGCTTCATTATTAGTAGACAGATTTGCTTTAATCTCTAATAAATGGTAATGTATGCATATTAATTAATTAATTTATTTATTTATTGGGGTTTTTTTTGAGACAGGATTTCTCTGTCTCAAAAGCATTCCTGGCTGTCCTAGAACTCACTCTGTAGACCAGGCTGGCCTTGAACTCAGAGATCCACCTGCCTCTGCCACTCAAGTGCTGGGATCAAAGGGGTGCACTACTACCACCCGGCTAAAGAATCACTTTAAAATATAAGTCCTTATAATTTGCTGTCAGTAAATTATTTTATATACCTATCCACCCAAAATCATGTGAAAATTCCCAGGTGAAAAAATTTAGGAGTGGAAGAGGTTAAAAAGCCTGATAAGTGCACCTGCTTACAAGGCAGAACAGCTACAGGATCACTGGCTGCTCTTCTATTAAAGCTAATGGTTAACTTAGTCTGCTTCACTACAAGTACTGAGCAGCAAAAGGTGGGGAGGTGAGCTCTGAATGCCTTGCCTTTGCACAGACCACCCACTGAGCCACCTGCCACATCCAGAAGTAGCTGTCAGGTGTGACTTATGCCAGGAAGACCCATCTTCATCCACCAACTGTGAAAGCTAAGTCATGCAGTGAGACATTAGTTTTCTTTATATTATAGGTTATGTTCATTTCCTTAGGAAAGATGATTCAAATGTATTTATGACAGCTACTCCTTGGAACATACATATAAACAATTCACTACACAAATCTTTGTCTCCATGATTTTTTTGTGTTGGTGTTTGTTCCAGCTTGTTTTCTATTGCTGTGATAAAACATGGACCAAAAGCAGCTTGGGAAGGAAAGAGTTTATTTAGCTTACACACCTGATCACAGAGCATCATTAAGGGCAGTCAGGACAGGAAATCCTGGAGACAGGAACTGAAGCAGAGACCAAGGAGGAGTACTACTTTCTGGCTTGCTCCCCATGGCTTGCTCAGTCTGATTTCTTATACAAATCACGACCACTGTGGTGGACAGCACTACTCAGAGTGAACTGGGCCCTCCCACATCACTCATCAATCAAAAAAATGTGCTGCAGGCTTGCCTAAATGTCAGCCTTACAAAGACGTTTTCTCAATTGAGGTTCCCTTTTTGCAAATGATGCTTGCTTGTGTCCAACTGACAAAAACTAATCAGAATGGTGTTAGTGTAAAACTCATTTCTGGGTGTATTGGTTAAGATCATGAGCCTCCACAGCAGGCAGGTGTGGACTTCAAACCATGACCTCAGTTGTGTGGCTAGAGATAATTCTGTTAGACTCAGTTTTCTCATCTGAAAATGGGCTTTCTATAGAAATTGATTGAAAATAATACTGGAGAATAAAGATCTCAGTATACACACAGTATATAACAACAGCCATTCACTGCAAGGCCAGCAGAATTTTGCCTGTATTTAATATTTATACATACATCAAGTCAGGCATGATGGTACATGCCTTTAATCCCAGCATTTGGGAGCCATAGGCAGGTAGATCTCTGTGAGTTTGTGCCCAGCCTGGTCTACATAGTGAGTTCCAGGACAGCCAGAGCTACAACAGTGAGACCCTGTCTCAACAACAACAATAACCAAACAACAACAAAATATTATATATATTTAATTAATTTTTCCTAGTCTCAACAACAACAACAATAACCAAACAACAAAATATTATATATATTTAATTAATTCTTCCTAGGTTTTCAAAAATATTTTATGAACAATATATTAATTCATATAGTTTATTTTTAGAGGTAATTTTTTACTAAATTATACTATTTTGAGTTTATTTAACTTTAAAAGATGTAAATATTGGTGCTGGAAAGATGGCTCAGTTGTTAAGAGCACATGCTACTCTTGCAAAGGATCTGGGTTCAGTTCCCAGCACCCACATCGTGACTCACAACCATCCTTAGCCAGTTTCAGGAAATTCGAGGAACTTTTTTGATCTCTATGGACATCAGGCACACATAAAATGTACATATGCACATGTAGGTAAAACATTCATACATGAAATAAAATAAATATTTTTTAAAGTTTGAAAATATCTTTTTAAAACAGCCCTGCACAGTCAGTCCATTCTAGGATGTAGTTTGCCAAGTGTTCCAATATGTAATTTATTGGATGTCAAGTAGATCAAATGGCCCTAACAGTTCATACTCTCTATTATTATCTTTGTTAAGACAATACTTACTGATTGCTATCATACAGGAACAATATGCTAGGTCTTCTGGATCTTTCTTAACACACATCCTCACCATCCTCATCATAACCACAGAATTATTTTCAGATAAAATAAATACCATATTTTTTACTTGTAAAGTTTATATTAGAGTCTGAGGAAAATTTAAATCACATCACCTGATTGTTTAGACTATTGTGGGATGCTGGGATATGCTTATTTTCTAAAAACATATGCATTTTGCCTTTGTAGATCTGTGCATATTTATGCGTTTCCCACTTGGTTCAGAGCCATACTCTCCTAAGACTCAGGGAGTATATTAGTGACTTTTCTATTGCTGTGATAAAATACCATGACCAAAACAACTTATAGAAGAGGGATTTATTTTGGCTTATGGTTCCAAAGGGCTAGAGTCCATGATGACAAAGTTAATGCCTGGTGGCAAGAACAGGAAGCTGATGGAGCCTGTTAAACTGCAAGCAGGAAACAGAGAGTGGAGTAGAAACAGTGCAGTTTTTAAACTCCCAAAGCTGCCCCAGAGGCACACTTTCTCCAAGGAGGCCACACTTCCTAAGCCTCTTGCAAACACCATCACCGGCTGAGGGCCAAGTGTGCAAATCCCCAAGACTATGAGGGATGAAGGTCATCTCACTCAAACCACCACACAGCGGTTCACAATGTCAGGATCTCCCTAGCTTCCTAAAGCTTAATATATATATAATGTCAACAATTATTTTTTCAAGTCAGTTTTCCCTCTTACCTTATTCATGCATTTCTTTCTTTCTTTCTTTCTTTCTTTCTTTCTTTCTTTCTTTCTTTCTTTCTTTCTTTCTTTCTTTCTTTCTTTCTCTTT